ATACTACTCAGCCATAAAAATAAATAAAATAATGGCATTTGCAGCAAACTGGATGGAATTGGAGACCATCATTCTATGCGAAGTAACTCCGGAATGGAAAACCAATCATTGCATATTCTCAGTATAAGTGGAAGCTAAGCTATGAGGACACAAGGGCATAAGAATGATATAATGGACTTTGGAGACTTGGGGGGAAGAGAAAAAGGAGATGAGGGATGAAAGACTACACATTGGGTACAGTGTACACTGCTTGGGTGATGAGCACACCAAAATCTCAGATATCACCATAAAAAAGCTTTTCCATGCAACCAAACACCACTTGTTCCCCCAAAACTATTGAAATAAAAATAAATAATAAATAATAATACTAAATGAGAATGGATTAAACAATCTAGTCAAAAGGCAAAGGCTGTCAGACTGGATTAAATGACAACATGATCCAGCCAGGTGCAGTGGCTCAATGCCTATAAACCCAGCACTTTGGGAGGCTGAGGCAGGAGGATCACTTGAGTTCAGGAGTTTGAGGCTAGCCTGTGCAATATAGCAAGACACTGTCTCTATTAAAAATAGAAGAAAAGCAAACAAGCATGACCCAACTATATGTTCTCTACAGGAGACACACTTAGATTTGAAGACAAAAATACTGAAAGTAAAAGGATGGAAAAAGACACATTCTGACAGCAGCAATCACTGAAAAGCTAGAGTAGTTAATGAGACAAAGTAAATGGAAACCAAAAATGTTCTCAGAGACAAAAAGGGACATTCCATAATGAAAAATGGGTCAATCAATCTGGAAGATGGAACAACTGTAAACATATGTGTACCTAACAATAGAGCACCAAAATACATGAAGCAAAAACCAACCAAAACAAAAACAGAAACTAAGAAATGAAGAATAAATATTTTATAATTCCAGCTAATACCCCACTTTCAATAACAGAACAACCACACAAAAGATCAACAAGGAAACAGAAGACTTAATACTATAAACTAACAAGACCTAACAGATATTTATAGAACACTACCCAACAACAGAATATGCAATTCTTCCCAAATGCACAGAGGATATTCTCCAGGACAGAGCATATACTAGGCCATAAAACAAACCTTAATAAGTTGAAAAGGACATAAATAATACATTATGTTCTCTGACCATAATAGAATGACCTTAAACATGAATACCACCACCCATAGCTTATGGGACACAGCGACAGCGGTGCAGAGAAATTTATAGCTATAAATGTCCATGTTAAAAAAAGAAGATGGCTGGGCACAGTGGTTCACACTTGTAATCCCAGCACTTTGGGAGGGTGAGGGGGGAGCAGATCTCAGGAATTTGAGACCAGCCTGGCAACAGGGCAAAACTCTATCTCTACAAAAATTACAAAAATCAGCTGAGAAAGGTGGCATGTGCCTGTAGTCTCAGCCAATCAGGAGGCTAAAGTGGAAGGATCACTTAAGTCCGAGGGGTCGAGGCTGCAGTGAGCTATGACTGTGTCACTCCAGTCTGGGTGACAGTGAGACCCTGTTTCAAAAACAAAAAACAAAAAAAACACTTCAAATCAGTAACTTAATATTCAACCTAAGAAAATGGAAAAAGAAGAGAAACTACTACATGTCAATAAATTAGATGATTTAGAGAAAATGGACAAGCTCCTAAAAGATACAAACTACTGATACTGACTCAAAAAGAGACAACTTGAGTATTCCTGTAACAAGAGACTGAATCAGTAAACAAAAAACTACCCACAAAGAAAAGCCCAGCCCCTGATGGCTTATAGAAGAGAGAACATTTCCTAATTTATTTTATAAAGCCTATATTATCATCATGCCAAAACCAGATAAAGATATCACAAGAAAGCTACTGATCAATATATCTTATAAGCATGGATGCAAAGATACTAAAACACAATACTAGCAAACCAAACCCAGCAACATATAAAAAGAACTATAAACCATGACCAACCAAGGGATGCAGGAATTATAAACCTTGCATCCCTGTGGGATTTAACACAGGGATGCAAGTTTGGTTTAAGCACCAAAAAATAAACATAACCAATCTCATCAAAAGAAAATAAAATTCACATAATGATCTCAATACATGGAGAAAAAGCATTTGACAAAATTCAACACCCTTTCGTGAAAAAAGCACCCAGCAAACTAGGAATACAGAGAAGCTGCCTAAGTGTTAGTATGTTTGTAGATAAAAAGCATCTACAAAAAACTCACGGATTGAATGGAGAAAGACTGGATGCTTTTCCCTAAGACCAGAAGCAAGACAAGGATGTCTGTTCTTAATGATCCTAGTCAACACTGTAATAGTGGTGAAAATGAGGTTAAAAAACAAAAAGACATCCAGACTGGAAAGCAAGAAGTAAGACTATCACTATTCCTAGATGACATGATCTCGTATACTGAAAATCCTAAAGAATCTACTAATAACTATTAAACCTAATTAAATAAGTTCAGGAAGGTTATGGGATAAAAGATTAATTACAACTCAACTGTATTTCTATACATTTATAATAAACAATCTGAAAATAAAATTATAAAAATAATTCCATTCACAATAGCATTAAAAAGAATAAAACAGGAATAAATTTAACAAAAGAAGTACAAAACTCAGACTTGTAAACTACAAAACATTGTTGAAAGAAATTAAGGGGCCGGGCGCGGTGGCTCACGCCTGTAATCCCTGCACTTTGGGAGGCCAAGGCGGGCGGATCACGAGGTCAGGAGATCGAGACCATCCTGGCTAACACGGTGAAACCCCGTCTCTACTAAAATACAAAAAATTAGCCGGGCGCGGTGGCGGGCGCCTGTAGTCCCAGCTACTCAGGAGGCTGAGGCAGGAGAATGGCGCAAACCCAGGAGGCGGAGCTTGCAGTGAGCCGAGATGGTGCCACTGCACTCCAGCCTGGGCGATAGAGTGAAGACTCCGCCTCAAAAAAAAAAAAAAAAAAAAGAAAGAAATTAAGGAAGATCTAAATAAACAGAAAAACATCCTGTCTCTGTGGATCAGAAGACTTAACACTGTTAAAATGGCAAAATTCCCCACTTTACAGATTTAATGCAATCCTTATCAAAAATCTCAGCTGATTTCCCTGTAGAAATTGACAAGCTGGTTCTAAAATTCATATTGAATTATTACAGAAGGACCAAGAATAGCCAAAACAATTCTACAAAATAAGAATAAAGTAGAAGGACTCATACTTCACAATATTAAAACTTACTACAAAGCAACACTAATCAAGACAGTATGGTACTAGGACAAGGACAGACAGACAGATCAATGGCTAAAGGGGTTTCTTCCTGAGGTGATGAAAATGTTCCAAAATTGTGTGATGTTTGCATATGTCTAAGAATATGCCAGAACTACTGAACTGTATACCTTAAATGGATGAACTGGTATGGTATGTGAATTGTATCTCAATATAGCATTAAAAAAATAATGCAGAGACAAGGGGATCTGAAGAAAAATATTTGAGTCTGATTTGGTTTATCAGATCATTAGAGAATCACAGAAACCCAGAGTTGGAAGGGTTCTACCTCTTACCCAATAAATGAATTCCTTCTATGACATCACTAGTAAGTTCCTCTCTAGTAGTTTTCAATCAAATTACCTTTGCTGCCTCTATCTGCACATCACTTTTTCCATTGCTGTAGCTCCAGTGTCTAGAAGAGGACCTTGTTCTACCGACTTCCAGAAGCCTCAATAATTACTAGCTGACTGATGTCTTGCGTTCCAGCTACAAGAAAAGTCTTCCTTATAAGGGTCAAATTTTTACTGCTTAGAGTTTCTTCTCAGTGAACATAACTCTGTTCTCATAGAGGCATAGAAGAGGGAATTCACATATACATGCCACATTTTAGGTATTTGATATTGCAAAGATCCCCTCTAAGTTTCTCAGCAAATTTTCTTTTTCTTTAACCATTGCTTTGGCCAAAAGCCTAGGAGTCATCTTTCTTCATTTTTTCTTACCCCTGATTCATAAGCTTTGTTGGGTATTCCTTCAAAACATATCTGGAATTAGACCCTTTTTTTTGAAACAGTTTCGTTCTTGTTGCCCAGGCTGGAGTGCAAAGGCTAGATCTTGGCTCACCACAACCTCCACCTCCCGGGTTAAAGTGATACTCCTGCCTCAGCCTCCCAAGTAGCTGGGATTAGCTTCCCGAGTAGCTGGGATTACAGGCATGCACCACCACACCCAGCTAATTTTGTATGTTTAGTAGAGATGGGGTTTCTCCATGTTGGTCAGGCTGGTCTCGAACTCCCAACCTCAGGTGATCTGCCCGCCTTGGCCTCCCCAAAGTGCTGGGACTACAGGCATGAGCCACCGTGCCTGGCCTAGACCCCCCTTTTTTTTTCCCCTGACCTCCTCTACTACAACAACCCTCATCCAAAACAGTATCATTCTCTTGGATTACTACAATTTTCTCTAGTGACTTCCTTGCTTCCACTCTTGACTCCCTATTTGCTTCATAGCTGCCAAAATAGTGTTCCTAATATTGCAAAACAGGTAAGAGCATTCCCATAATACCTAAAAATAAAACCTGCAGTTTGTAGTACGGCTTGCAAGCCACTCCATCATTTAGCCTTGGGCTTCCTCTCCAATTGTATTTCCTACCACTCTCCCCTTTGCTTGCTAATGCTCCGGCTGATCTGCTTATAATTCCAGAAACAAACCATATGCTCTCATTTCAGGACCTATGCACTTGGTGTTTCTTCAGCCTGAAATACTCTTTCTTCATTTTGCATGACTTACTGCCTTAGGTCTCTGCTCAAATATTATCTCCTTAGACAGAATTTCTAAGAAGGCTATAAGTAAATCAGCATCCGCCTCCCCTCCAGCTGCCATTCTCTATCTCATGCTCTGCTTTTTCTTCAAAGCGCTTATGATCCATGACATCATGGGCATTTTTTATATCAGCCTTTTCTGCATAACAAACCACCCCAAAACTTAGTGGCTAAAAGCAACAATGTTCTTTTTATTTCTCACTTTTCTGTGGATTGGCAGGGTGGTTCTTCTGAGCTGGGTGGTCCAGGATGGCCTCATTAGGGCTTAAGCTGGGACAGCTAGGCCTCTCTCTACTTGGTCTTTCATCCTTCAGGCGGACAGCTTCGTCTTCTTCACTTGGTGGTCTCAAGGATCTAAGAAGGTAAGAGCTGAAGCTGCAATGCTTTGTGAGGCCTAGGCTCAGAAACCACATAATGTCATTTTTTGCTATATTCTATTGGTCAAAGCATATGACAAAGGCCAGCCTGAACACAAAAGGTGAAAAATCAGACCAACTCTTGATGGAGGAGCTATGAAGAATCTGCGGCCATTTTTAAACTACCAATTACCTATCTACTATTGTCTCTCACAGTGGAATATAAGATTCCTAACAGCAAGGCCTTTGGTTATCTTCTTCAGTATCTAGTGCATTATCTGGCTTATATTAAGTACTCAATACATTTTGTTGAATGAATAATTGCTCATATGACATTGTTTCCAGACACTTCATGATCCTATTCAATTTCCTCTGAATATGTGATTTGTCAGTATCCTTAAAAAATCTGGGATCCAGAAACAGACACAAAATTCTAGATAAGATCTAAATGCCTAGCTCAGTACAGCTGGATAAATGTTAATTGAATCAATGCATAACAAATAAACACAGACGACTGCAGTAATATTTGGTCTTTAATAAAGATACTATGTGTCCTTTATGCAGCTTAGGACCACATTAAAATTTTAGCAGCTTTTATGCTATTGAATCTTATAGGCCTTGAGATCAAATACATGTCCTACGGCTCTTTTCCACGTGAAACACTGTCAAATCTCTGTCCCATAATTACACAATTGACTTTTGAGACTTAAAACATTACATTTATTCCCCCCAACATTTAATCTCTTCTAAATTATCACCTTCTCTAGTTGATCATTACCATTGACACACAAACCTGCTAAAAACTATTCAACAAGCTTTTATAATTAAAAAACAAAAGTAAAAAGCAAAAGAAAACAAAAAATATAAATTTTTCCCTTAATGACTCATCCCTCTCTTGCAGATACTACTCCACTTCTCTCCTTCCCTTCCTCACAAAACTTCTCAAAATAGCTGTGTATATAAGCTAACTCAACTTCCGTATCTTTTCACTCCTTTTAATTAAATTAAAACTGTTTAAGGTCATCAAAGTCTTCCAATGTGGAAAAAAATACTCTGGACCCTCCTCTCTATCCTTATTTTAATGGTTCTCACAGCAGCATCCAGCCCAGTTTATCACTTGGTTTCCTTAAATATATTCCTGTCTTAGCTTCTATGGTATCATTTTCTCCTTACATTTTTTTCCTTCTGTCTCCTTTGATGATTTCCCGTTTTCTAACTTGATCTATACGTGTTTGGTTCCTTAGACCTGGATGTTCCGGTTTTTTTCCTCCTATTTCTATCCTTACTTTCTCTTCTCATGACCTCTTAAAGTTGGTTTCAACAGCATCTTAAGTTGATGATTCTTAAGTCCAGTCTGCTTCTCTGAACTCTAGAGTCATTGATTCAATTCCTATTCTCCATTCCCACTTGGACAATCTACTGACTAATTCATTTAACAACAAGACAGTATTTTCTTTTCTCCTAAACCTGTTTACAATCCACTTGTCCACTCTAGATCATCCCCATTTCAGTAAATAGCTCTACCATCTACCTAATTTTTTGACTCAGAAATCAAGGGGAAATACTAAATGCCCTGTGTCAAATCAAGTGGCAGTAACTGTTGCTTCTGTTTCTAAAACATATCTCAAATTCACTTTCTTGTCTCCATCCTAAACTAGGTCATCATTATTTCTCACTCAGATTACCCTACCAGCCTCCTAGATGACCGGCTAGTCAATTCATTTGTCATACTGTCTCAAAAGTAACTTTCTTTACTTTTGTTTTTGGTTATGATGGAGTAGAGTACGTTAGATGCTCACATTGAAGGCAACTAAAAAGAAAAAGCCAGACAAAATTCACAACAAAAATGAAACCACTACTAAAAAACCCCACCTCTTGAACTAGTGTTATAGAGAAACTTCTAAGAAAACCATGACTTGAGGGTCCAAAGATTCCGGAAGGGGAGGAAACTCAGAGAGGTAAAATGACATTCTGAAATTGCTTTTTCCCTTAGATTATTTGACGATGCTTGGTGTGAGGCAAGAAATTAAAAGTATGGGCAAAGGACACAAGAAGGCTGCTGCTGGGGCAGGCAAGGTATCACAAGCTGCTAAGACAAAAACTGTAGACTCAAAGATTTAGAACTCAACTGACAAAGGCAAGCTTGAAAACAGAGCCTGATACACAGCTGATTTTTCCCTCTAAGTACATACCAAACTCTGAACTTGTACAGGGTAGAAGCAAAGTAGAAAGTTTCTGAAAAAAGCAAGAACCTTCTGAAAAGCATAGTAAAGTTTTTGGAAGTTTCAAAATGCTAAGGAGACTGTGATTAGAGATCAGAACCTTCCAGGCATAAGAACCCCACTGAACACCCCAGAAACCCAGCTGGAACCCGTACAGCAGTGGTTCTCAAACATTAGTGTACATTAGAATCAACTGGAGGGCTTCGTAAAACACAAAATGCTAGGCCCCAAGCACAGGTTTTCTGATTAAGTAGGTCTAGGGTAGAACCCAAGAGTTTGCATGTCTAACAAATGCCCAGGGGAAGCTGCTGACAGTGTGGGGACCACATCTTTAGAAATACTGATAAAATGAAATACATCAACACCTGGATGATTTGTAACTCTCAGTGAAGCAGTATTCCCCAAATGACCAATGAATGATGTTACAAAATCACAGATGGGAAAAAAGAAAATTCAAAGTAAAAGATAGACCAATGGATTTTAATATAAGAGATTTTGAAAGTTCATTGGCATGGTTTCAGGTTCCACAATGCAACTATCTTTAAGAAACTACCACTTGTTGAGTTCTGGTTTAGCAGCAATGAAGAATATCTGCAATTATCTGAAAAGATGAATAAAATACTATTTCCTTTCCCAACTACTCATTTGTGTGAAGTCGTATTTTCTTCATACATTTAAACAAAACAATGTATCACAAGAGAATAAATGTAGAGGTTGATATAAGTATCAGGGTACTTTTTGTTAAGCCAGACATTAAAAGAGAGGTGCAAAAAGGTAAAACAATGTCACTTTACTCATTAGTCTTCACAAATTTTATTGTGGAAAAGACAAATTTTTATAAAGATTATGTTACTATATTAATATGACAAGTTTAATATTTTTAAATGAATTAATAGGTAAATATATTTAAACTTTCTCAGTTTTAGGCCAACACAGTGGCTCATGCCTGTAATCCTAGCACTTTGAGAGGCCAGCGTGGGAGGACTGCTTGAGTCCATAAGTTCGGGACCTGGGCAACACAGTGAGATTCCATCTCTACAAAGATAAAAATAAAAAATTAGCTGGGTATGTTGGCACACGCCTATTGTCCCAAGTACTTGAGAGGCTGGGGTGAGACGATTGCTTGAGTCTGAGAAGCCGAGGCTGAAGTGAGCTGTGATCACACCACTGCACTCCAGCCTGGGCAATGGAACCAGACCCTGTCTCAACGAAAACAAAGAAAAAGAAAACAATTACTCAGTGTTAATTTCTATTATTGTAAATACTCACAGAATCCATATAAAGTCTTTTTTGGTATTAGACAAAAAAGTTTGAAAACTGTTGCTTTCATACAAAATGTAGGGCATTTAAAAAATTTACTTTGCATACAAACAGAAGGCCTGAAATCCAAATAACTATGAGTAATATATTTGAGAAAACAGAGGAAAGATGGAAAAGATACATAAAATTATAGAGAATTTCACAGAGAATTGGATTTCATAAAAAAAGAATCAACTGGCAATTTTAGAAATGAAATTAAGAGCTTAATAGATAGTTAAGACAGTGTAGAAGAAAGAACAATGAACTGGAAAAAACTAATAGTCCCAGTATTACTTGAGAAGTGGCCAAAGTAATATTTTATTTCAGACTGTAGTAAGTCAAGAAAGTATGCTGTAGCTTTTTTCTGTTTTGTTTTGTTTTGGTTTTTGAGATGGATTCTCGCTCCGTCATCTGTCGCCCAGGCTGGAGTGCGGTGGAGCAATCTCAGCTCACTGCAAGCTCCACCTCCCAGGTTGACGTCATTCTCCTGCCTCAGCCTCCCGAGTAGCTGGGACTACAGGCACCCGCCACCACGTCCAGCTAATTTTTTTTTTTTTTGGTAGACACTGGGTTTCACCGTGTTAGCCAGGATGGTCTCGATCTCCTGACCTCGTGATCTGCCCACCTCGGCCTCCCAAAGTGCCAGGATTATAGGTGTGAGCCGCCTCGCCCAGCCAGTATGCTGTATTCTTTGGACAGTCACTAAAGAAATTGTTTTGTTTTGTTTTCTCTGAGGCAGGGTTTCAATCTGTCACCTAGGTTGGAGTACAGTAGCATGATCATAGCTCACTGTAGCCTCCATCTCCCAGGCTTAAGCAAACCTCCCACCTCAGCTTTACAAGTAGCTGGGACAACTGGCATGTGCTACAATGTCCATATAATTTTTTTAAAATTTTACTAGAGAAAGGGTCTTGCTATGTTGCCCAGGCTGGTCTTGAATTCCACAGCCCAAGCAATCCTCTTGCCCAGGCCTCTCAAAATAAATTGTCTTTTAAAAAAAGGTATCTATCAAGTTATTAAAGAAAAAATTATAAAATTTAAAAAAAACTGAACCAACTAAAAGTCAAGGAATAGAAAAAGGAATATAGGTGAGTCAAATAGAAAACCAAAAGTAACATGTTTTATATATAAATATATATACACACACACACACAACACACACACACATACACACACACACACACAGCCAACATATATATGTGCGTGTGTATATGTATATATTCAAATACCAGTAACTACATTAAATGTAAAAGGACTAAATAGTTACATTAAAAGTCTAAAATTGTCACATTCAAAGAAAACTGCATGCTTCTTGGAAGAGACAAACCAACAAGAGAGATACAAAAAGGCTGAAAATAAAAAGATGGAAAAAAGACATACCACGTAAACACTAACCAAAGGAAAGCTGGTACAGCTATACATATTTTCGATAAGGTAGGCTTTATGGCAAAAAGCACTACTATAAACAAAGAGAGAT